GATGAGCTTTTCCAGCAATTTATGTCTTTGTTTCTGATTTCCAGCATCCACAGTTCTTTCAGTGTATCACTTACCAATTTGCTATCATCTTTCACTCAAGTTACAAAATGAAGTCCTGTTGGCCTATTTCTGCTGTCCAGATGAATGTTAGAGATCAGATACTATTTTCGAAAGAAGATGAGTTCTTACAGTCTCCTGCTCAATATTCCTTTATTAACTCATATAGCACACAGCACAGATTAATTTACTATTCATCTTATTTTCTGATGCAGAATGCCCACCACATTTTCTTACATTTCAGTATTCACTTTAATTCAAAAATTCATCAGATCAGGCCCTTTGAAGTGCTTTGATATGAAAGATGGACTACATGTTGTTATAACTTAATCGTTTTTCTTCACTCAGAATATATGGGTTATGAGTGTCACTGGCTGGGCCAGCATTTATCACTAAATGCACTTGAGGAGGCGGTGGTGAGCTGCCTTCTTAAACCAATGCAGTTTATTCGGTGTAGGTACACAACACAATACCATCAGGGAGGCAGTTCCAGGATTTTGACGCCGTGACACTGGATGAAAGGCGATATATTTCCAAGTCGAAAGGATGAGTGCATCACATAATTTTATAGACATCTATCAAGTCTCTCCTCAGCCTCCACTGCTCAAAAGAAAACAGCCCAAGTTTTTTAGCCTCTCCTTACAGCCCATACCCTCTAATCCAGTCAGCATCCTGGTAAACCTCTTCTGCACCCACTCCAAAGCCTCCATATCCTTCCTGTAATGTGGCGAACAGAACTGAACACAATATTCTAAGTACAGCCTAACCAAAGTCTTATCAATCTGCAACATGAAATGCTGACTCTTGTACTCAATTCCCTGACCTATAAAGGCAAGCTTGCCTTATGTCTTCTTTACGACCCTATCTACTTGCATGGTCACTTTCAGGAAGCTGTGGACTAGAACCCCAAGATCCCTCTGCACATCAATGCTGTTCAGGCCCCTGCCATTCAAACTTATGACAGTTTTAATTATGTTTACCTATAACTATCTCTGTATACATGCATGTGTATGTGGCAAGAAGTGTAACAGTTGTCACATTTTATATTCAAAGTAAATGTGTGCAAATAAATAAACTATTTTACTTTAAGGCTCACAAATATTCCCCAATATTACAGATGGTAGCAGTGGAATAGGCAGCATCCAGGCTCCTGTGCCCAGGACTTGTCCTCTCTGTCCACTTTTCTTTCTTTTTCTTTTCTTCTTTTCTTATTATTCTTTCTTTTTAGCTTTTGCTTCTACTTATCTTCTGGAGACGGCTCAGTCATGGAGGCACTGGCAGCAACGACATCGATAAGGAAGGCGGTAGGAAGGTGGCTTCACTGTGGTCCAGAGCATAGTGACAGCTGGTGAGCACAGAGTGGGACTCTGGCAGACAGTGGCAAGGCAGCTGGTGAGCCCAGAACAGGACTCTGGCAGCCGCATTGAGCAGACAGTTGATGGAGGGCCAATTATGGGACCCAGTATTGGTTGCTACATCGGTGGAGGTAGCATCAGTGAGGTAGGCCCTGTGGCGAAAGATGGCTCCTGAGGAACGGTGACTTCAGTTATGGTTGGGTCCATTGCTGGTGGCGCCAAAGCGGAAGGGTTATGGACTCTCTTTAAGCTATATCTTTTTTTCTATTATTCTTAAACTATTTAAAATGATACCAAAATCATGGCAACAGTGGATGATTTTCAGCGTAATTTACTGTATTTCACTGCATTTACTGCAAAATACATATGTCAATTAAATCATTCATTCATTCAAAAGTTTACTGCTGAAATTATTTAATTGGAATGCTCACACCAGGGACAAGAACACTCACACTTTGTCTCTATTGATTTCTGGCAGTAAATGGAACACAGATTTCATCTGTGACAAAAATGTTACAACTATGATAGGAGGAGTATCCTGATAATTAAGCTCCACTACTCCACCAATCTCACTAATAATATAAATGTTTTGATTCAATGACTAAAATAGTAAGTTGTTTCTCTTTTTACTACTATCCAGAATAAAGGAGATCAGGTTTCTTTAATGAACTTAAAATATTCATTTTTTCAAAATAAAGTTCATTCTAAAAACAGTTAAACATTTGTCCCTTAGTCCCAAAGACAGACAATCATACAACTCAAAAAGACAATAATCTCTCCAGAGATGGTGGGGAGAATCCTCCCAGCCCCTAAATGAGATGGGCCATGGTGCGAATGTTGGGATAATTATGTGAGATAATCAGTGAGGAGTTTCTAAGTGTTGAGAGCAAGAAGTCCCAATTTCCAACCAAGTGTGGCACAGTTTGACAGGATTCTCACAAGTGAGCAGTGAGAAGTTTATTTGCATTCATTAACATCTTATTATCACCTAATCTTGTCTCATTTATACGAAGTTTCCCATTCTTTCACCTACTAGACAGAAACTAGACAGCGTCAATTCTTGATGGTTACCTGGTAACTCCAAATCACTGCTTACTCCTCCAGATCTCCAAGGACACCCGGCACCAACATCCCTGGGCGTACTCCATGGGTGCAGCAGATTACAACCCATGTCCATGGACATTGGCATGTATGAGCCACACCACAGTATCTTGGCACATCTCTGATTCGGTTACAGTAGAGTTCTGCACTTCAATGCTGTACTTTGGAACACACTAGCACCTTTCATTAGAATACTACTGTAGGAACACTTTGTACGCAGGCACCCATCTTAAAGATTAGACTAGGCTGCATCTCAATGATAACACAGTGTGGAGCTGGAGGAACACAGGCCGGGCAACATCAGAGGAGCAGGAAAGTTGATGTTTCTGAAGAAGGGTCCCAACCTGAAACGTCAACTTTGTTGCTCCTCTGATGCTGCCTGGCCTGCTGTATTCCTCCAGCTCCACAATGTCTTATCCCTGACTCCAGCATCTGCATTTCTTACCATCTCTGCATCTCAATAATGTTCACTTGCACGTTAAACTCTCACTCGCACTTTGCCTATTTTGATGCTTACAGAATCCTTGCCTTGCCTTTTGGCGCTTTGCACCCTCAGCCACACCTTAAAGGTTCACAGTTCTCCTGTCTTGCTGTGCTGCTTAGCACAGGCACAAAGCCAGGTAATTTTTCATGGCTGTCAGCAGTCATGAGTCAAGGAGGGTGGACATGTTGCTGTGTAGCACCGTGCTATGTCAATCTCACATCTACAGCATGTATCAGCAGCATACAAACACATTGCACGTGCATCAACCAATTAGAGATGTACCAATGTCTAAGGGGAGTTGTCCTCAGTTAAGTCAAAGGGGGGGCTGCTGTAGGTTAGGGAGTCTCAATGGAGTAAGGTAAGGGCATCTTCTGATCTCAGTCGAGGCCTTGAGCACAGCCAGTCAACACCTTAGGGTAGACACAGTTTGGGGGTTTGTTTCATTACAGGACAGGGAGTGAGCCAAGGTCAGTACTGCAGGTCCATTTCAACAGTTAGGGAACTTGTGGTAAGTCAATCAGAAGCTGTACACAGATCAGGTAAGGATTTGGTTAGTCATTAGTTTGGGCTGTCTGTCCAAGTCAACATAGGTGTCAGCAGAATAAAAGTCACTGTTATCAAGGGACAATGCCATATTAGGGAAGTTGGGAAACGACATGCTGGAGACTGGAGGTAGCAACCTGGGATGCAGAAGGGACATACGTTGTAAAAGAATCAAATTTCATCTATAAGGTGGTAAGATGATATCTTTTCAGGAGGACATATGATACTTCAGTCGGGGAGGGGATTACTGGTGATCACTGCCATTGTGGCCTTGACAGAGGAAGTACAAAGCATGATGGGGGCATGACTAAATTGTAGGGCTAGGGCTTGGGGACAGTTGTTTCTGACCTAAGTTTCTCACACTCAAAGCGAATATTAAAGTGCGTCATGTTTTCATCACTATTTCCTAGGGGATCTTTTACTCAGGGGTAATTTATTAAACTTGCCTCATTACCATTACCATTACCAGACCCAGGATTGACTACTTCCTGGTTGGCTGTATGACATATAGCCCTAGGAAACTATCCCTAATGTACTCTTGAATTCATTGTCATTGCTACCCTTTCCGATTTGATGAACCCAATCAACATGAAGAGTAAAGCCACCCACAATTATTGCTCTATTCTTTTTATATGCTCCTATTATTTGTTACTTTATTAGCCTTTCCTACAGAGTGGCTACTGTTTGGAGGTATATATACACTACTCCTAGCAATGTCTTCTTTCTCTTGCTGTTACTTGCCTCCAAACAAAGAGACAGTACATCATCCAAACCTAGATTGTCTCTCATTTCATCTCTTATTAACCATCTTTCTCTTCCCTCCTGTCTTTCCAGAAGATCAATTACCCCTGAAAGGTGTCACTTCTGATGGCTACATGATCATATCTATTTACTCAATATGCACCATCAGTCTCTCTCTCTCTCTATCTCTCACCTCTTATCTCTTTGAAAGGTCTGCTCATCTTTTCTTCAAAATCACTTCGGCTTTCAGTAAACAGCAAGTGACTTACAGCATATTTTAGCTGCTGACCTCATTCCTTAATAAAATTACAACCATTCCATAACTTGCAATTTTTTCATTTGTTCTTAAATATAAATACATATTCCAAATGAAGGTACTTATAACGATTTCAGCAGCAGATGAGTTGAGGCAGGAACTGAGTTGGGCAATACAATGGATGTGACAGTAACTGGTCTTGATGATGTCAAATACTATGCCAAAATGCAAAAGGGGATGGAACATGGCAGGGATCAAAAGCAAATTTTTCAGTCTTCCAAATATTCACTTGGATGAAATTATCGTTTATTAAATATTAGGTGACATAAGAAATTACAATGAGAATTTGGCTTCATTAATTCAATACGGGCTAAAGGGAGAGGCTGGGGCTATTTTCTGTGGAGGGTCGAAGGCTGACTTTTATAGCATTATAAGGATCATGGATAAGGTGAAGAGCCGAGGTCTTTTTCCCAGGGTAAGGAATCCAAAACTAGAAGGCGTAGGTTAAGGTGAAGGGGAAAGATATAAAAGAAACCCAATTAGATGGTGCATGTGTAGAATGAGCTGTTAGAGGAAGTGGTGGAGGCTGGTACAATTACAACCTTTAAAAGGCATTTCAATTTTTTGGTCAGCATGGACAGGTTGGACCGAATGGTCTGTTTCTGTGCTGTACAATTCTATGACTCTATAAGCAATAAAAAAATTACACATGCTGGAGAGGTCAAGAGAGGTGGTGGTGAAGTAAAGCTGGGTGCCCTTAGGTGTCCTTCTGAAGAAGGGTCCCAACCCGAAATGTCAACTTTCCTGCTTCTCTGATGCTGCATGGCCTGCTGTGCTCCTCCAGCTCCGCACTGTGTTATCTCTGACTCCAGCATCGGCAGTTCTTACTATCTCTGCCCTTAGGGAATATGTTTTTGGATGATGTAGTTGAGATCAACATGTACATGAGAAATAGGAAAGAGCTCAGGCTAAACTCAGGGACTTCAGAGTCAACAATGTGGTAAATGAAGCTACTTGTACATTATTCAAGGCTATGGCATGATAGGTTCTCAACAAGGAGATGCCTCAATAGTTTCAATCACTGCAGTTACCCTTGTTCAGTTACAAGGTAACAATTTTTGGATTGCATATATCATGAGACACTGCCTCCTCCTTCTAGCAGACTCACAGGTGCTACAGCAGAACTGGTTCCCAGGCTTGATAAGTTCAGGTAGTACAGTATCATCACATGAGGATTTGTCAATGATATAGGAACTTCAGTAGTCTACTCAATTTTATGAGTCTGTTCTTCCATTCATCTATTTGATAACAGGTGGTCTATTTTGTTTGCCCACCCGATATCCTTATAGAGTCATAGTCATACAGCACAGAAACAGACCCTTCGGTCCAACTCGTCCATGCTGACCAGGTTTTCCAAACTAAACTAGTTCCATTTGCCTGCATTTGACCCATATCCCTTTAAACATTTCCTATTCATGTACCTGTCCAAATGACTTTTAAATGTTGTATCTGTACCTCCTGCATCTACCACTTCCTCTGGCAGTTCATTCCATATACAAACCAACCTCTGTGTGAAAAAGTTGCCCCTGAGGTCCCTTTTAAATCTTACCCACTCACCTTAAAATTATGCCCTTTAGTTTTGAACTCCCCTACCCTCAGGAAAAGACCTTCGCTATTTACCTTATCTATGCACCTCATGATTTCATACACCTCTAAGGTCACCCCTCAACCTTGTACTCTCCAGGGAAAAAAGTCACAGCCTAAACAGGCTCTCTTTATAACTCAAAACCTCCAGTCCTGTTAACATGCTTGTAAATCTTTTCTGCACCCTTTTCAGTTAAATAATATCCTTCCAATAG